CACCCTATTACTTCTAAACAACCCCTCACTTGTTTTGATAACGGAAAGTCGGCTGTCCTCCGATACCACAGACACATATCTACAAATAGACACCTATGAGCTCTTCCGCTGTGATCGAGTCACCAAGAAGGGTGGTGGTTGTCTCGTTTATGTATCAAAAAATTTGAGAGCGGAAATCTATAGCGACCACGTCCTCAGCAAACTTCCTGAATCGATACGGCTTACTGTGCACACTCATGAGTGTAAAATACTAATCGGATGCATATATCGAGCTCCAAACACTCCTAGTTCAACTGACACTATTATAAGTGAGTCATTTGCTCAGGCTGCCTCGCTTGACTTCACTTACAAAATTGTATGTGGTGATTTCAACCTTCCCACCATCAACTGGAAAACACATTCTGGCCCATTGTGCTTTGAAAGCATATTTAGGTCCTTAGACATACACGGGTGGCAACAACATGCACACCTGCCTACACGAAATCACAACATTCTTGACTTGATATTCTGTCATAATGTCACACCAACATCAATGGTGGTTGGCGAAAAGTTTCACAACACCGATCATAAAATAGTCCTCTGCACCCTTCCGATTCTTGCCATATGCAACAAATTAAAGACATTAAACACGCGATTCCAATATAGAGACTATGCAAACGCTGACTGGGAAAACTTTCGATTTCTAATAAACCACTCTGACTGGGGCAGTTTCTTTACCAGTAATAACCTCTTAGAAACATTAGAAATATTCAATATCACCACCAAATCTGCACTAGACACTACTATACCCTCTAAAATTGGTTTTAAAACAATTACTCCCTATGTAAACTAAAAGACTAGGTCTAAACTACGAAAACCGAAAAGGATGTACTAAATATCAAAAGACTTCAGTGCCCTGCACCAGATATACTCTGTACTTGACGGAGTACAAACTCAACACAACAAGCATAAACAGGTAGAGGAACGTACTGCGCTCGCTGCTGCATCTAAAGCCCAAGCCCTATGTCGTCTCCTCACGAAGCGCATAAGAAAGAACACAGACCACAACATTCACTCCTTACTGCACGATGGAGTAACGTATAATGACCAAACCGTCATATGTGAACTATTAAGTGAATGGTTTTCTCACAATCGGAATACATCTGATGCTCCAGATATCGACATAAAGTGCACCGGCAAAAACTATCTTAGTACCATAAACTTCGACATTAGGAGTATACATACCGCCATTAAAACCCTTAAGCCAAATACGAGTTCTGGTGCCGATGACATCCCTTCAATCGTTTATAAAATGTCAGGACCGGACATACAGACGCTACTACTCAAAATATACACATTATCTTTAGAGACAGGTACATATCCAGAAACCTGGAAGGTAACCTATGTTCTTCCCAAACACAAATCCGGACCGAGAAACTTGGTTGAAAACTACAGACCTATAAATATCACTCCAGTCATATCACGCATAATGGAAAAAGTGATACAAAATCAACTATCTGATCACCTACTCAAGGAAGATCTAATAGACCCGTCACAACACGGCTTCATTAGAACAAGGTCGTGCAGTACATGCCTGATAGACTTCTTTAACGAGGTTACTCGTATACGTGACCAGAAGAAACTAGTTATCATACTATACCTCGATATTAAGAAACCCTTTGATAAAGTACTTCATAATCTTCTAATCAACAGACTTAAGTCAGTTGCAATTATAAATCCCCTTTTGCAATGGATCAAGTCTTTCCTTACGAACAGATATCAAATAAATAACATTAACTCTAAAACATCTACACCTCGACCAATAACCAGTGGTGTTGTGCAGGGTAGTGTCTTGGGTCCATTCCTCTTTATAATCTACATCAACAATATATGCAAGTGTTTTAGCACAGGTAAGACCTACCTCTATGCCGATGACTTAAAAGTCATCTATAAAACTGACATTTGCGATTTACGCAGTACTATGCAAAGAATCCAACATGAACTCAACATGGTAGAAAACTGGTGCAAACGCTGGAGGTTAGAGCTCAACACAGAGAAATGAGGCTGGTTATGTACAGGAGACACATCTCTTAAAATGAAACACTTAGCAATCACACACTGCCCAGACTGGCATCAGTAACTGACCTAGGGATACATTACTCACACAGTCTTAATATCTCTGAACACATCTCAGCCAAAGCATTCAAAATGCGGAAATCCCTTGAATTTATTCTCCATAGTTCCTATCAAAATGAATCTAAAATCCTTCTTTACAACAACTATCCTACAAAATACCCTTCTTAACGCTTATACTCTGATTGGCAAACTATACTTTATACTACAGTCAACAGATGCACTGCATCGATGCTTTACCCACAGTCCATAGCTTGTAACTGCCTGATAAGCTTGTAAAATGGTACTAATAGAAATAGTGCTTTCCAACAGGTTGTGAAGCAGAGGATTGTGTGAGGTATGACGTATATACAAAAATAAGCCTAAATGAGCCTAACATGACAAAAGGAGGGAGGGTGGAGTTACTGACAAGCAAGCATTGATGTTTCAGACTCACATTTGTGTAGTAAGGACAGAAGGCCTACGGCCTTTGTTATACCTTTTCTAGTATGCTTCTGTGAGTGTCCAGTGTTCTCTTGAAAGAGTCAATTGAAGGTGCGGACACCACTGCTTCAGGCAGCATTTTCCAAGTATTGATGACTCGGTGTGAAAACCTGAATGCACAAAACTTATTCATCAGTATCAACATTTTTTTTACTTTAACCTCCATTTATCCCACTCATATCCATCTTCATCCTACATCTATTTACACTGTTATTTTTTCCACTGACCCTGCTCACGCTCATTTATCAACCGTTTTCTCTAGTTAAAGCATTCGAGGTCACCGAATGTTGTCGGCGATTACTTGATGCTACACTGGAAACTGCGTGATGTAGCTTTTAACGCCCGAATACTGAAGCAAATTCCACAACAGATTTCCTTAGCTAGGACTTTAGATGTTATGGTGTTACGGCACAGAGAACAGATGACGGCGACCGTCTGTTGCAGGCAGCTATGCTCAGATAATCACTTGTTTCTTGCAAATACTAACTTTAAGCATAAGGAAAAACATGTTTTGACACGGCAACCCCCACACATAATTCATGCCAACGTTTGACCGAACTAAATCACATCGCTATCAGCCATCGATGCAGAGGCTGAATAGAAGACTGACGCTTGTTGTGGAGCACATGCTTGGATTCACATGATCCTCTAGTACGAGCACGTATTTGTATGCGTCTTACTGGACGTAGGAAAGATGCTGCAAGAAAGCCTGTTAGGGTTGTACTTAGTGATGATAGCCAAGCTGAGTATATATTTGAGGAACAACTAGGAATACACTGATCAGCATACATCAGAGTAGTAGCATACTGTGAGACCATGTTGTCTGTGAATGTGACTAGGTAAGGCAGTTCCAGTGGTCGGTGTTGTACATTGCACCAAGTGTTCAAGTGACACGAAACGCTGTGAGAATGTGCAGAGTGTCACCTGTTGGTTATGTTGTGAGTCGAGTGATTGTGAAGAGCTATGATGTGGGTGGGACTAGGTAAGGCAGTGCCACTGGTCGGTGTTGTGCATTGCACCAAGTGTTCAAGTGACACGGAACGCTGTGAGAATGTGCAGGTGGATTCTGAATGTCCTCAGAAAAGCTGCCTCTTAAAGGTTACATTCATCACGGTGGAAGAAAGGACCCTGATTCTAAGTAATTCACGTAAACTGATTTGATCCGGAATATATGTCCGTCAGGACCTCAGCTTAGCTGATCGTATTAAGAGAAGAGCTGCAGAAGCGGAAATAAACGAGCGTCGCCGAAACAGTGAAAGAAACCTCGTTCGTAAGGGTTTTCAGATTGTAAAATTTCGGAGCAAAACGATACCCAAGCCACTCTGGGTGGCAAGGGAAAGCTCTCCACAGACTTAAAAGTGTGCCACACAAATGCTCGCACCCTACTAAATAAAATGGCGGAGCTGAAGTTGAAATGCCGAAGGCAAGATATTGAAGTAGTTGTAGTTTATCGCAGTCCATAATGTGTAGCAGATGATTTTCTCCCCAGTAAACTTAAGTCCTGGTGTAACAACGGTAAAAGTCTTGTAGTAGGCGACTTTAATGCACCACATATAAACTGGGTTAACTTAGAAGTAGGGTCATCCATATCGTCGTTCGACTACAAACTCTTAGAAACCTCGATTGGATTAGCATAATTCCAACACATTAGAGATCCCAAAAGATACGACTTAAGAAACTCTTCCTCTCGTTTAGATTTAGTTTTCACACATGGTGATGATGTTGATCAAATGGCTTTTCTCCCACCACTTGGGAGAAGTGACCATACAGTCATCTTATTCAAATTCATGGCCGAGATTGGCTGGCAAACAGTTGCACCGGTCTCATAAAGACCTAGAGGTGACAGTGAGCAATGATCTCAGGAAGACGGCCCATTGCCGGGGGGTCGCAGTTAAGGGGTTTCGAACCCTCTGAGCTTCAAAAAGGACATTCACTAAGTTTGATACTACCATGTTCACCACATTATACACATCCCTAGTAAGAACTAAGTTAGAGAACTGTGTCCAGGCTGCAAGCCCCTGTTTAAAAGGTGAAGAACTGAACCTCTTTACTCTGTCCTATCGCGAACTAAGGGGAGATCTAATATTGATGTATAGAATACTGAGAAATGATTTCGGACCTAAATTATTCGCTCGCTTTCTTCCTACTAGATCGGGACACCTCAGAGGACATATCAGGCGAGTAGAAAAGCCAAGAACGAACAAAATACCCCTGGCATACAGGTTTTCACACCGAGTCATCAATACTTGGAAACTGCTGCCTGAAGCAGTGGTGTCCGCACCTTCAATTGACTCTTTCAAGAGAACACTGGACACTCACAGAAGCATACTAGAAAAGGTATAACAAAGGCCGTAGGCCTTCTGTCCTTACTACACAAATGTGAATCGGAATCGGAATCTATAAAGTGATATCGTAGAGCGCTTGCTGTAAACTATGACCTTGAGAGGACGCGTACGTCAAGTTTGTTCCAAACGTCAGAAGTTTCATAGCTGTGCTCTCAGAGCAAGATTCTGAAGAAGAAAAAAAAAAGAGAAACAGAAGAGCAGCAAGGCACTTGGATATGAACGCCAAACGTTGCTTAACATTGTGTAGTAGAACGGACAGAGGTATAATAAATTAGAATAAATTCATATTATGTCTTGTTAGAATGAAGTGAAGTCAGAGGCTCCATATTAGAGAATGTACTAATGAAGAACAATGAGTTGTGTCGTTTAACAAGTTGGAGTAAGCACACATGAAGGAAGGGAAGTCAAGGTTGGTACAAGGGAAGCAGTTTATTAGGAGGGTGTGTATATAGAGGGTGAAGTGTTAAGAATACTAATGACTATATATTTTGTTATCTAATTTTTTTTATTTTTTCGTCTGTCCGATGCCAGCTACACAATCCTAGTGTGAAAGTTCGAGTTAGCATGTTATAGGTTGTCTTAGTAGAATAGCTAATCCACATAATATTGGAAACATGAGTCTGAGTGGTGAGCGTAGGAAGACAATTTATATCACAGATTGACTGACTTATTCTCAATCATGAGGAGCCTGATACATACAAAATGTTCTGTCCCCACAAACACGGGTGGATTGAAGTTATCGCCCTCACCATCAATGCTTGCTGGTCAGTAACTCCACCCTCCCTCCTTTTGTAATGTTAGGCTCATTTAGGCTTATTTTTGTATATACGTCATACCTCACACAATCCTCTGCTTCACAACCTGTTGGAAAGCACTATTTCTATTAGTACCATTTTACAAGCTTATCAGGCAGTTACAAGCTATGGACTGTGGGTAAAGCATCGATGCAGTGCATCTGTTGACTATAGTATAAAGTATAGTTTGCCAATCAGAGTATAAGCGTTAAGAAGGGTATTTTGTAGGATAGTTGTTGTAAAGAAGGATTTTAGATTCATTTTGATAGGAACTATGGAGAATAAATTCAAGGGATTTCTGCATTTTGAATGCTTTGGCTGAGATGTGTTCAGAGATATTAAGACTGTGTGAGTAATGTATCCCTAGGTCAGTTACTGATGCCAGTCTGGGCAGTGTGTGATTGCTAAGTGTTTCATTTTAAGAGATGTGTCTCCTGTACATAACCAGCCTCATTTCTCTGTGTTGAGCTCTAACCTCCAGCGTTTGCACCAGTTGTCTACCATGTTGAGTTCATGTTGGATTCTTTGCATAGTACTGCGTAAATCGCAAATGTCAGTTTTATAGATGACTTTTAAGTCATCGGCATAGAGGTAGGTCTTACCTGTGCTAAAACACTTGCATATATTGTTGATGTAGATTATAAAGAGGAATGGACCCAAGACACTACCCTGCACAACACCACTGGTTATTGGTCGAGGTGTAGATGTTTTAGAGTTAATGTTATTTATTTGATATCTGTTCGTAAGGAAAGACTTGATCCATTGCAAAAGGGGATTTATAATTGCAACTGACTTAAGTCTGTTGATTAGAAGATTATGAAGTACTTTATCAAAGGGTTTCTTAATATCGAGGTATAGTATGATAACTAGTTTCTTCTGGTCACGTATACGAGTAACCTCGTTAAAGAAGTCTATCAGGCATGTACTGCACGACCTTGTTCTAATGAAGCCGTGTTGTGACGGGTCTATTAGATCTTCCTTGAGTAGGTGATCAGATAGTTGATTTTGTATCACTTTTTCCATTATGCGTGATATGACTGGAGTGATATTTATAGGTCTGTAGTTTTCAACCAGGTTTCTCGGTCCGGATTTGTGTTTGGGAAGAACATAGGTTACCTTCCAGGTTTCTGGATATGTACCTGTCTCTAAAGATAATGTGTATATTTTGAGTAGTAGCGTCTGTATGTCCGGTCCTGACATTTTATAAACGATTGAAGGGATGTCATCGGCACCAGAACTCGTATTTGGCTTAAGGGTTTTAATGGCGGTATGTATACTCCTAATGTCGAAGTTTATGGTACTAAGATAGTTTTTGCCGGTGCACTTTATGTCGATATCTGGAGCATCAGATGTATTCCGATTGTGAGAAAACCATTCACTTAATAGTTCACATATGACGGTTTGGTCATTATACGTTACTCCATCGTGCAGTAAGGAGTGAATGTTGTGGTCTGTGTTCTTTCTTATGCGTTTCGTGAGGAGACGACATAGGGCTTGGGCTTTAGATGCAGCAGCGAGCGCAGTACGTTCCTCTACCTGTTTATGCTTGTTGTGTTGAGTTTGTACTCCGTCAAGTACAGAGTATATCTGGTGCAGGGCACTGAAGTCTTTTGATATTTAGTACATCCTTTTCGGTTTTCGTAGTTTAGACCTAGTCTTCTAGTTTACATAGGGAGTAATTGTTTTAAAACCAATTTTAGAGGGTATAGTAGTGTCTAGTGCAGATTTGGTGGTGATATTGAATATTTCTAATGTTTCTAAGAGGTTATTACTGGTAAAGAAACTGCCCCAGTCAGAGTGGTTTATTAGAAATCGAAAGTTTTCCCAGTCAGCGTTTGCATAGTCTCTATATTGGAATCGCGTGTTTAATGTCTTTAATTTGTTGCATATGGCAAGAATCGGAAGGGTGCAGAGGACTATTTTATGATCGGTGTTGTGAAACTTTTCGCCAACCACCATTGATGTTGGTGTGACATTATGACAGAATATCAAGTCAAGAATGTTGTGATTTCGTGTAGGCAGGTGTGCATGTTGTTGCCACCCGTGTATGTCTAAGGACCTAAATATGCTTTCAAAGCACAATGGGCCAGAATGTGTTTTCCAGTTGATGGTGGGAAGGTTGAAATCACCACATACAATTTTGTAAGTGAAGTCAAGCGAGGCAGCCTGAGCAAATGACTCACTTATAATAGTGTCAGTTGAACTAGGAGTGTTTGGAGCTCGATATATGCATCCGATTAGTATTTTACACTCATGAGTGTGCACAGTAAGCCGTATCGATTCAGGAAGTTTGCTGAGGACGTGGTCGCTATAGATTTCCGCTCTCAAATTTTTTGATACATAGACGAGACAACCACCACCCATCTTGGTGACTCGATCACAGCGGAGTAAGCAATGTCTGGGTTAAGAATAGAGTGCCAAGTCAGGATAGGGAACCGACTGGTGAGGTAGTAAGTCCTCATCAACTGAGGTGGTTGGGATGTGTTACGTATACCCAACCACCGTTTACCTCGACGAGTGATGTTTTCTGGTGCAGCAGTTGCTAGCTAGAAGAAAGATAGGGGCGACCGAGCCAAAACATGGCATCAGTACGTGATGTTACTGACAATTGGACTTAACCATGTTAGCAAGTATAGATTACCTGGTTGTGGTCCGCGTGATTATCGTAACCAATGGTCAGACTTTGAATGACATGGCTCAAAATTGTTTGGAATGGCGCATGTGCATCTATTTTTTGTCTTCCCCCACATAATGAAACTCTACATTCCTCATAACATATTTTTGTTTATATTGCGCTTATTTAGATTTTCTGTTTAGGTCGTCTGTTCGACGCTTAGTTTTTTCTATTCCCACTGTTACTGTTACTGCCTGTACTATCATGAGATTTGGCCTGACAAATTTATCTCTGTGTTATTGAGGTATGACAACTTGAACAGATGCACATACGTACAGGTTCTACATTTATGACTGACTGGTATTCTCAGAAACCTACCACTCTTCAGATTTTAACAGGTTGGTTCACAATCTGATGTTTTGTCGTTGAAGCTCTGCCTACTATCATGTTTTATAAACACTCATCACAATACATTTACCGACATGTAACAACTGAACAATTATTTAGCATTACTTATTGAAGATTTAGTCAACTGACACGACGACCAGTTCATTATTTCAGCTTTCTGATAATCTTCGCTCTCAACCTCACATATGTCACTAAGACCACCTCTAACTCAATTTCCTTTCGAGGCACCTGTAGAAGAACCCTTCCATGGTGTGAGCAACCGGGAAGTGATAACCGCTCTCATACCTCTAACGGCACTCAAGACCACTGTATTCGTAATAAACTTCTCTCTTCAATTCCTCCTACATCGACTTTCAACTCTAAACTTCCTCTTTTGGCTTCCTCCTCAAGTGTCACCATAGCCAACGATTCTAGTGCTCAAAACACTGTCCCGGGTTTACTGAAACCTCGCTCCAAACTACATATCGGAGCCTTCAACGTACACACACTATGTCAAATCGGTCAGCAGGCCTCCTTGGCTAAAACCCTAGAATCCCGTACCATTGATGTATGCGGTGTCTCTGAAACACGCATACAGGATTTCAGTGTGGTCATTCACTTGAGCTCACCTCAGCAAAACGGAGAGCCAACGAGATACACCCTCCGTGTACCTGGTGACTCGATGGCTAGTTCTCGTGGACTGGCAGGTGTAGGCGTAGCACTAAGCATGAGGGCGGAACAAGCACTGTTAAAGTGGATCTCCGTTGACAGTCGTTTATGTGCTGTTCGACTAAACGGCTCCGCAAGAACTCAGAAGGATAGGGACACACGTCGTTGCCTTTTTACCGTTTCTGCTCACACTCCCACTGACTGCAGCTCGGATGAAGTGAAAGATGAATTTTACGAAAAGCTCTCTGAAGAAGTTCAGAGAGCTAAACGTTCAAACGTAGTACTCTTAGCAGGTGACTCTAATGCTCAGTTAGGTAGCTTAAACCAAAGAGAAAGACATTTAGGTGGGTATTTTGGTATTCTGTCTCAGTGAACAGATAATAGTGATCGTCACAATATATAAGGTAGGGTTAAAATCATCCTGTGACAAGCACAGAGGGATTAGTTTAACTAATATAGTATCTAAAGTACTAGCCTCGATAATTATTGGACGCCCAACTAAGACTCGTGAACTGCAGACACGAGAAAATCAGTCTGGCTTCAGACCTGGTCATGGATGCATAGACCACATATTCACAATTCGTCAGGTTCTAGAACACAGGCATACTTATCCGCGTGTTGTTTGCGAAAATGGGCGGACGAAAAGCGAATGTCCGGCGCTTTAACCGGACCCCAAACCAAATCAATGTTGCACATGGGCTCCAGTATCCTGAGGGAACAAATGGCGTATGAACCAATCGTTGGCCACCGGCCACCATGGGACTGGATCTCCTCACGATGTTCCACTGCCTTGTGGGTTAGACCTTTAGGTCAAAGGCTTGGGGTGTGGCCCCCCCAAGAAAACCACCTGCTTCGGTTTGGGCACCCGGGCAGTATCCCAGCCCTCACACGGCGCATATCTACTTGGTGCCTCCTTGTACTAATGTTTATATGTTTAAATAAATAAATAAGTAAACAGATGTCTTAGAAATATTGCTTGCATCTGCTGGTATCACCGGGTAAGTAACAGTGAGGTTAGATAGGGTATGGTAAATCAGTTGATGAGGTTGTGAGTCTTCATCGACTGAGATGGTTGGGCTACGTGTTGAGTGTGCCTGAACACCGATTACCACGACGTGCAATGCTAACGGGTGTTGGGGATGGTTGGAAGAAAGTTAGGGGTGGCCAAATTAAAACGTGGCATTGGTGCTTGAAGACACTAACATCTGGTCTGAGCCATGTTGGTAGATGCAGACTACTCAGTTAGGGTCCACGTGACTATCGTAACCAATGGTTGTAGACTCTTGTTGAGATGGCTCAGAATCGATCACAGTGGCGTCGGTGTATACACTGTCTGTCTTCCCTTAAACTAAGAGATTAAAATCGCTTCATATCTTCCTTTCTATGTACTAAATCTTTCTTCCTGTACTATATCCTTATATGCAATCTTTCATATATTACCACTATTGACTTAACTACTCCTATGAATCCGGTGTTCATCTTGCTGTGCTAATGCGGTATGGCAACTTGAATCGATGCATATATGTGCCTGGTCCTACGTTGTAGCCGACTGACTGACTGATTGACTGATGTTATTGGTTCACACCAAAGTTTTTTTATACAGATGATACATGTATCTGTAACCTAATAAATTTAACTTAGTGTATTGTACGACTCTCTGGTTGGTTTTCGAGTTACACAGTTTTGTAGAATCTATTTTCTTTAGTTTTATAATTAACTGAAGGAAATGTTCCCATTTTATTCATTCTACGATCATTAGTTTACAGATGGTGTCTTACTTATTCTATTTAATGGGTCTTATTGATGGCTATTTTGTAGCATTTCATGCATATCATCCAACACCAACAACAGAAGAATTGTGTACATCAAATGTTAAACTAGCCTTTGAACTTATTCAAGCAGCTGGTATGGTTGAACCTCCAGCAAAACTTGAAGAAATTGTTGCAGGCGATAGCAGTGCTGTATTACGCGTGTTGTATGGCATCTACTCATATTGTGCACATATGGAGGATGAACAACGTCGGTATGAAATAGATAATATTCGAGAACAAGGTGAGATGGATGAATATTACGGTAATAACCAGAAACCTTCTGTACAACATGGTCTAATTAATTTATCGTGAAGTATATGTAACTGTGATAATATGTCTCTGATGTTTTCTGTGATGTTAACATTTTAAAAATGACCGTGGAATAAAATGCGTTACCACTGGAGTGATTTACTTTTAATAAATAACAGATTATCGTTTGATGTTCTTTAGTTACTTTCTTTTTAGAAACAATAAACAATAAAATGAATTTGTATGTAAGTACTCCATTATATTATTTCTCTCTCTCTCTCTCTCTCACACACACACACACACAGAGAGAGAGACTCCTTTGCGAATCTACGCTCTGCAGTCTGACATTTTTTACACTAATAAACGTTCTGATGTCAGTTTTGTAGTTATCTACATTATTTTTTTGCGGTTAATTGTTTTACTTTCCTAAATATTGATGTTAGTTTGAATTTCTAGATACGATAATAAAAGCAATAACTTTGAAAAGATTCATTTATGATTATGTTCCTTTTGGTTAACTGATAGTGTAGTTTATTATTTTTCTCTGCGCTATGTAGTTTTATTGTATATTGTATAAGTTTTCTGCGCCCGTGGGTTTTATCTCACTGAATGTATTCATTACTACCAAATAGAATGGGGTTTTGTTTTTCTAGACGTTTATTTCTTGCTCTTATTACAACGTTTATGTTATATACCATTTCATTGGACAAATATATGAAATAATCATGCCTACATGTATACAAACGGAATATCTTAAAGAGATCAACTTTAGACAACAGTCATCTGTTAACATCGAAAAAGATTTGTCTTATAAAGAAAAAAATTGAAAGTTCAACATCAGAGAGTGATTTGAATTTCACAATAAGCATTCGTAAAAATAGTTTGTTCATTTACAAGTTCTATTCCCAATCCAGTTCATGATTGAAGTTACACTAAATATTTTATTCGCACAACAAATGTTTACATGGGCTTCTGATTATTATTTCATACTAACTTAAGCCCCATAACATTGTGCACTACATTCGCTTTTCGTGAAAACAATTAGGCAGCCATGTAAGTGATGCTCACTTCGAGGCAGTGTGGAATGATATTAGAAAAGCTGTGGAAACATCAGTGGCATCTGCTTAACTTCGGAACTACTTCAGTGGTTCGAACATGCGCGGGTAGTGATTTCATGATAATTTTGACCAGATTATTGTAATGCAAACATAGTTTATATTCCAAGAAAACACCCTACACTAGTAATGCAGTACAGATCGAAACACTGAACAGCACACCTGTTTTTTGTTTTTAACAAGCACTTGTGGGGAAGATGAATCAACTTGATGAAAATGAAATCGATAACAACAAGATTTCACCAACTATGAAATAACCAAGGTTGCACAGACTTCTAACACAAGTGACGACAACTACACACACTCAACTTTACTGGCAACTGTCGACCTAACCATTGAGATAAACAAGTTGCAAGGCAGTAGTATTCTGAGTTTAGATGTATAAGATATCGCCCAGATATTTTCGGATTACCATGTAGACCGTACGGAAGAATTAAGTTTCTGTTCAACATGACTATATTATATTATCTGCATGGTATCGGTTTTCGAGTAGTGTACCCACAACAAACGTCAATGAAGTTGGCAACGCTACAGAATTTCTAAAACATTGTGAAACACTTGTCAAAATAATAATATGGACTATACTATTGTGTCATTGAAAAGACTATGAATGTGGTAAATAAACATTTCCGTTGAATCTGAATACAGTACATTTTTAATATAAAATGAATATTTAATTATTAATGAAAAAGTATTACGATAGTTGTGGTTATAGTTTTGATGAATCATTTCGGTTAAAAATGAGGGGAAATACTGAAAGAATTTATGTTGTTTAATAGAAGAAGATTGATGAAGATTACAGATTGTTTCTAATCATAATATAATATTTAGTAAACCAGATAACACTACATCAATCATGATGAAAAGTTGATTTGCAGAGAAGTTGAAAAGATGTAAGAGTAAGGTGTATTTCTGAAGAGTATTGATATGATAGGGAAGGTCTTATATACGTTGTAGAGTTAAACACCTTCAAAATGGATTTACTCTACTCGTCTATAGTATTGAATTATACTTATTTTTCTGGCAATACTTTGTACATCAACGTGTTATTTTATTTTTTTAAAAATATCTCTTCTAGTGGGCAGTTGTCTTGGTTTTTGATATCAGCTTATTGAAGAGCTACATCAATATTTCGGTCACAGGAGTATCTATCACCTGGGTACATTTCATTTACTATTCAGGATTTTACCCGTGCACCACTCATAATGAATTACGGAAACATAACAAGTGAAAGTCACCGTATTATTCTCGTGAACATAATCACCACATATGTTTATGAATAATAGTTTTAATAGAGATGTGAAAATGAAAATGTTGTTGCTTAATATAATAGGGAACTTTCGAAACAACAAAATGACTGAACTGACGCATAACCTAGGACAGCAAGGCAACACTTTATATCAACGAAATTCGAAAGTGTGAAGTAAGTGTAAAAGTAATTATAAGGGCAGAACATTGCGGTGCAAGAAAGCGTTATCAATGAGAAATTATGAATGTGGAGTAAAAATAAAATACTTGCATTTGCAATGGGACCATCGGACATAAGCTTCTCAGTGCGGGCTTCAACAAGTTCATTGAATTCCTGGCGTTTGCGATTTGCCACCTCACCAGACGAAATGGATTTCCTGCCACGAACGCCTGACGATTTTGCATGTGTTTTTATACTACTACACCAGGCACTTATTCAATAACGTTGTCCGGCAACAACCAGTTTGTCTAACTAAATTTCCTGCTCTCACTTGTAATTCTCTTTCCAACAACACAAAGCAAAACAACTTTCTAAGCGTGCAAACCATAGTTCACACTTTAGAGCATTAAATACAGATAAAGCTACAGAGATGGCATCCATGGAATACACTTACATAAAAGGTTCAGTCAATTATCAAATAACATGATACCAAGAAATAATAACAACACCAATAACAATAAGCTCAGCATTGAAATATACAATATGAGGAATTAACAAATAACAACAATAAATACATACATGAGACTCACCGAATAATAAAACTGTCACTTTGGCTTTAAATATGCAGACTTTGTAGACAAAAATGGTGCATGTTCCAAATGTCACTGCGGCTGCTGCTGCTGATGCTGCTGCTCATCAACCAACTTTGTTCAAGCTAATTTCCTTTATATCTGATTCCAATGAATAATAATTATAAGAATAATAATATCATCCCGTTAACTGAGTATTTAAAGCAGGCTTAATCTTCCAGTAGAATTATCAATTCACCCCACATGATTATTCAAAAGCCTGAACAACACCACCAGTTATAGACATCGTTTATTATTATTAAACATCAACTAAAAATAATCCACATGACACACGGGGAAATCATCAACTAAGTATGAGTGTTAAAAATCCATGTATATATAAATGAGTGTTAACCGAATATGCATAAATTATTGATTACCTGTGACTTACAACCAATGGGAGAATAGATTACAGATTGATCGATGTGCAGACACGTGCACAATCAGACTCACACTGAACTTTACATACTGGATTAAGTGTCTGAATTACAATGAGTACACAAATAATACCATAGTTCAATGGGCTTGCTAAAACTATACACCATACAATACGTAGTCCACTCAGACAAACACGCATGTGCATTGGCACATCCCCATCCACATTCACATCCACTTGCACTATCAACATCGAATCAGATCGATCACACAGTCACAACACCTCATTGCAACCATCTCATTCTCACTCACTCACTTACTATCCGTCTCACAGAATCACTCATCACCATATATCACAGTAGTAGCATACTGTGAGACCATGTTGTCTGTGAATGTGACTAGGTAAGGCAGTGCCACTGGTCGGTGTTGTGCATTGCACCAAGTGTTCAAGTGACACGGAACGCTGTGAGAATGTGCAGAGTGTCACTTGTTGGTTATGTTGTGATCTATATTAAAACTATTATTCATAAACATATGTGGTGATTATGTTCACGAGAATAGTACGGTGACTTTCACTTGTTATGTTTCCGTAATTCATTATGAGTGGTGCACGGGTAAAATCCTGAATAGTAAATGAAATGTACCCAGGTGATAGATACTCCTGTGACCGAAATATTGATGTAGCTGATCAATAAGTTGATATCAAAAACCAAGACAACTGCCCACTAGAAGAGATATTTTTAAAAAAATAAAATAACACGTTGATGTACAAAGTATTGCCAGAAAAATAAGTATAATTCAATACTATAGACGAGTAGAGTAAATCCATTTTGAAGGTGTTTAACTCTACAACGTATATAAGACCTTCCCTATCATATCAATACTCTACAGAAATACACCTTACTCTTACATCTTTTCAACTTCTCTGCAAATCAACTTTTCATCATGATTGATGTAGTGTTATCTGGTTTACTAAATATTATATTATGATTAGAAACAATCTGTAATCTTCATCAATCTTCTTCTATTAAACAACATAAATTCTTTCAGTATTTCCCCTCATTTTTAACCGAAATGATTCATCAAAACTTTAACCACAACTATCGTAATACTTTTTCATTAATAATTAAATATTCATTTTATATTAAAAATGTACTGTATTCAGATTCAACGGAAATGTTTATTTACCACATTCATAGTCTTTTCAATGACACAATAGTATAGTCCATATTATTATTTTGACAAGTGTTTCACAATGTTTTAGAAATTCTGTAGCGTTGCCAACTTCATTGACGTTTGTTGTGGGTAAACTACTCGAAAACCGATACCATGCAGATAATATAATATAGTCATGTTGAACAGAAACTTAATTCTTCCGTACGGTCTACATGGTAATCCGAAAATATCTGGGCGATATCTTATACATCTAAACTCAGAATACTACTGCCTTGCAACTTGTTTATCTCAATGGTTAGGTCGACAGTTGCCAGTAAAGTTGAGTGTGTGTAGTTGTCGTCACTTGTGTTAGAAGTCTGTGCAACCTTGGTTATTTCATAGTTGGTGAAATCTTGTTGTTATCGATTTCATTTTCATCAAGTTGATTCATCTTCCCCACAAGTGCTTGTTAAAAACAAAAAACAGGTGTGCTGTTCAGTGTTTCGATCTGTACTGCATTACTAGTGTAGGGTGTTTTCTTGGAATATAAACTATGTTTGCATTACAATAATCTGGTCAAAATTATCATGAAATCACTACCCGCGCATGTTGGAACCACTGAAGTAGTTCTGAAGTTAAGCAGATGCCACTGATGTTTCCACAGCTTTTCTAATATCATTCCACACTGCCTCGAAGTGAGCATCACTTACATGGCTGCCTAATTGTTTTCACGAAAAGCGAATGTAGTGCACAATGTTATGGGGCTTAAGTTAGTATGAAATAATAATCAGAAGCCCATGTAAACATTTGTTGTGCGAATAAAATATTTAGTGTAACTTCAATCATGAACTGGATTGGGAATAGAACTTGTAAATGAACAAACTATTTTTACGAATGCTTATTGTGAAATTCAAATCACTCTCTGATGTTGAACTTTCAATTTTTTTCTTTATAAGACAAATCTTTTTCGATGTTAACAGATGACTGTTGTCTAAAGTTGATCTCTTTAAGATATTCCGTTTGTATACATGTAGGCATGATTATTTCATATATTTGTCCAATGAAATGGTATATAACATAAACGTTGTAATAAGAGCAAGAAATAAACGTCTAGAAAAACAAAACCCCATTCTATTTGGTAGTAATGAATACATTCAGTGAGATAAAACCCACGGGCGCAGAAAACTTATACAATATACAATAAAACTACATAGCGCAGAGAAAAATAATAAACTACACTATCAGTTAACCAAAAGGAACATAATCATAAATGAATCTTTTCAAAGTTATTGCTTTTATTATCGTATCTAGAAATTCAAACTAACATCAATATTTAGGAAAGTAAAACAATTAACCGCAAAAAAATAATGTAGATAACTACAAAACTGACATCAGAACGTTTATTAGTGTAAAAAATGTCAGACTGCAGAGCGTAGATTCGCAAAGGAGTCTCTCTCTGTGTGTGTGTGTGTGAGAGAGAGAGAGAGAGAAATAATATAATGGAGTACTTACATACAAATTCATTTTATTGTTTATTGTTTCTAAAAAGAAAGTAACTAAAGAACATCAAACGATAATCTGTTATTTATTAAAAGTAAATCACTCCAGTGGTAACGCATTTTATTCCACGGTCATTTTTAAAATGTTAACATCACAGAAAACATCAGAGACATATTATCACAGTTACATATACTTCACGATAAATTAATTAGACCATGTTGTACAGAAGGTTTCTGGTTATTACCGTAATATTCATCCATCTCACCTTGTTCTCGAATATTATCTATTTCATACCGACGTTGTTCATCCTCCATATGTGCACAATATGAGTAGATGCCATACAACACGCGTAATACAGCACTGCTATCGCCTGCAACAATTTCTTCAAGTTTTGCTGGAGGTTCAACCATACCAGCTGCTTGAATAAGTTCAAAGGCTAGTTTAACATTTGATGTACACAATTCTTCTGTTGTTGGTGTTGGATGATATGCATGAAATGCTACAAAATAGCCATCAATAAGACCCATTAAATAGAATAAGTAAGACACCATCTGTAAACTAATGATCGTAGAATGAATAAAATGGGAACATTTCCTTCAGTTAATTATAAAACTAAAGAAAATAGATTCTACAAAACTGTGTAACTCGAAAACCAACCAGAGAGTCGTACAATACACTAAGTTAAATTTATTAGGTTACAGATACATGTATCATCTGTATAAAAAAACTTTGGTGTGAACCAATAACATCAGTCAATCAGTCAGTCAGTCGGCTACAACGTAGGACCAGGCACATATATGCATCGATTCAAGTTGCCATACTGCATTAGCACAGCAAGATGAACACCGGATTCATAGGAGTAGTTAAGTCAATAGTGGTAATATATGAAAGATTGCATATAAGGATATAGTACAGGAATAAAGATTTAGTACATAGAAAGGAAGATATGAAGCGATTTTAATCTCTTAGTTTAAGGGAAGACAGACAGTGTATACACCGTCGCCACTGTGATCGATTCTGAGCCATCTCTCCAAGAGTCTACAACCGTTGGTTACGATAGTCACGTGGACCTTAACACCCGTTAGCATTGCTCGTCGTGGTAATCGGTGTTCAGGCACACTCAGTCGATGAAGACTCACAACCTCATCAACTGATTTACCATACCCTATCTAACCTCACTGTTACTTACCCGGTGATACCAGCAGATGCAAGCAATATTTCTAAGACATCTGTTTACTTATTTATTTATTTATTTAAACATATAAACATTAGTACAAGGAGGCACATGTTGATATGCGTCACACAAATCATTCGGGTGCATAAACCGAAGCAGGTGGTTTTCTTGGGGGGGCCACACCCCAAGCCTTTGACCTAAAGGTCTAACCCACAAGGCAGTGGAACATCGTGAGGAGATCCAGTCCCATGGTGGCCGGTGGCCAACGATTGGTTCATACGCCATTTGTTCCCTCAGGATACTGGAGCCCATGTGCAACATTGATTTGGTTTGGGGTCCGGTTAAAGCGCCGGACATTCGCTTTTCGTCCTCTCATTTTCGCAAACAACACCCCTGTCACGAGAAGGCAGTGAGTAGGTCACGAGAAGGCAGTGAGTAGCACTTCCCTGGCAGAGGCTGTATACGCGTGGCCATGTGAGAACATTTCGAGAGGAGAGGCGGGCCCACCCCACTCTCGGCCATACCAGGGCATTTGGGGGCAAGACATCTGTGGTCAAACACTAGTAGCTTACGAGTGTCTTCTACTCTTAATGGCCATGTTTCGTGGCCGTAAAATAGAGCAGAACGAACTGCCGCGCAGTACACTTGTCCTTTTATTGATAGATGGATATCTCGCCTTCACCATAGATGACGTAAGTTAGCAAAAGCAAAACGAGCTTTCCGAATCCGTGCTGAGATTTCGTCAGACACCAACCCATTAGGGCTAATTAGACTTCAAAGACAAGTGAAGTTGTCAACGCGTTCGACTACTTCACTCCCTATATTTAGTTCAGATGTTGACGCAGGCCAGTCCTGGAGCAACAACTTGCATTTAGAGGGAGAGAAGCTCATTCTAAACATTCTGGTATAGTTGCTTAGTGCAACCAGAAGACTCTTCATTTTATCAGTGTCTCCACCAAACAGGACTATGTTGTCTGCGTATTCCAAGTCGACAAGTGGACCTCCTGGAAGGAGATCAATACCCGAGAATTCAGTCGACGTGAATGTTATTTCCATCAGTAGGTCTGTGATGAAGTTAAACAAAAATGGAGAAAGTGGGCAGCCTTGACGGACGCAAAAGCAGATGACAAGTCGCCATCAGCTCTGACTCGACTAGTGGTGTTCGGGTAAAGAGCCCTCACAAGGTTTACGTACTTCTGAGGTACGCCTTTCAATGACAGGCACTGCCACAGAATGTCGCGGTCTACGGAGTCAACTGCTGCTTTTAAGTCAAGAAAGACCACCATTGTCGGACGCCGATAAGTATGCCTGTGTTCTAGAACCTGACGAATGGTGAATATGTGGTCTATGCATCCATGACCAGGTCTGAAGCCAGACTGATTTTCTCGTGTCTGCAGTTCACGAGTCTTAGTTGGGCGTCCAATAATTATCGAGGCTAGTACTTTAGATACTATATTAGTTAAACTAATCCCTCTATGGTTGTCACAGGATGATTTTAACCCTACCTTATATATTGTGACGATAAGTGATTGTGACCAGTCAGATGGAATAACGTCCAACTCCCAGATCTTAGCCAAAATATTAGTCAACCTAATCGCTAAAATTGGTCCACCATCCTTAAACACCTCTAGAGCCAATCCATCTGGACCAACTGCCATTCCTCGTTTCAGATTAGCTATAGCCTTTTGAACTTATGCTAGAGTTGGGGGACCTACTTCAATGTTCCATTCACACTGTCTGGGAATGATGGGTAGTTGTAGAGTAGCTGGAGGCCAGCTGAACTGCTTTTTAATGTGTTTCGCCGATCTTTCTAAACGTCTGGACTGGGAGCAGATGAGTGTCGTCTTTTTCCGAGATATTCTCACTTACATTTGACTTAGTAATTCCAGTTTCTTTTATTATTCTGTAAAGCTGTCTTGTGTTCCATATAGTCGCCGCCTTTTCCATCTCTTTTGCTTTCGTTGCCCACCACTGCTCACGGTCGTTCCTTAGACTTTTGCTTAACCTAGATCTGATTTGTTTTCGCTCTTCATCGTGTTCAGAACCCGATGGGATGAGTTTACGAGAATCCATCAGTGCAATAGACCTTGAAAGGAATCCATTGGTTCTTTGTAACCCTGTGGCCTAAATCACTAATAGATGTCACTGCTATTTCCACAGCTGCTTGTATATCTTTCCAAGCAACATCTGGGTCAGCCTCGTTTTCAGAACTACCTAAGTGTGACCTCAGTTGTTTCTGGAACCTACTTTGGTTTTCTCGTTACTCAATTCAGTTCTAATGGGTCCTTTTTGTGCGGCTTTTTTGCGTCCAGCGAAACGCAAGCAGATGCGTGCCCGTATTAGGGCATGGTCGGAGTCCAAGCAAGTACTTCAGAATGAGCGACAACCTTCTATCGACGCTCTCCAACGATGACTGATGGCAATATGGTCTATTTGAGTCCATCGTTGGTTTGGTGCAGGGGGTCGCCATGTTAGACGATGTATCTCCTTATGCTTAAAATTAGTGCTTGTTAACAACAAACGATTGTCTGGGCACGGTCGCAACAGACGATCACTATTATCTGTTCACTGATACAGAATACCAAAATACCCACCTAAATGTCTTTCTCTTTGGTTTAAGCTACCTAACTGAGCATTAGAGTCACCTGCTAAGAGTACTACGTTTGAACGTTTAGCTCTCTGAACTTCTTCAGAGAGCTTTTCGTAAAATTCATCTTTCACTTCATCCGAGCTGCAGTCAGTGGGAGTGTGAGCAGAAGCGGTAAAAAGGCAACGACGTGTGTCCCTATCCTTCTGAGTTTTTGCGGAGCCGTTTAGTCGAACAGCACATAAACGACTGTCAACGGGGATCCACTTTAACAGTGCTTGTTCCGCCCTCATGCTTAGTGCTACGCCCACACCTGCCAGTCCACGAGAACTAGCCATCGAGTCACCAGGTACACGGAGGGTGTATCTCGTTGGCTCTCCGTTTTGCCGAGGTGAACTCAAGTGAATGACCACACTGAAATCCTGTATGCGTGTTTCAGAGACACAGCATACATCAATGGTACGAGATTCTAGGGTTTTAGCCAAGGAGGCCTGCTGAACGATTTGACATAGTGTGTGTACGTTGAAGGCTCCGATATGTAGTTTGGAGCGAGGTTTCAGTAAACCCGGGACAGTGTTTTGAGCACTAGAATCATTGGCTATGGTGACACTTGAGGAGGAAGCCAAAAGAGGACGTTTAGAGTTGAAAGTCAATGTAGGAGGAATTGAAGAGAGAAGTTTATTACGAATACAGTGGTCTTGAGTGCCGTTAGAGGTATGAGGGCGGTTATCACTTCCCGGTTGCTCACACCATGGAAGGGTTCTTCTAGAGGTGCCTCGAAAGGAAATTGAGTTAGAGGTGGTCTTAGTGACATATGTGAGGTTGAGAGCGAAGATTATCAGAAAGCTGAAATAATGAACTGGTCGTCGTGTCAGTTGACTAAATCTTCAATAAGTAATGCTAAATAATTGTTCAGTTGTTACATGTCGGTAAATGTATTGTGATGAGTGTTTATAAAACATGATAGTAGGCAGAGCTTCAACGACAAAACATCAGATTGTGAACCAACCTGTTAAAATCTGAAGAGTGGTAGGTTTCTGAGAATACCAGTCAGTCATAAATGTAGAACCTGTACGTATGTGCATCTGTTCAAGTTGTCATACCTCATTAACACAGAGATAAATTTGTCAGGCCAAATCTCATGATAGTACAGGCAGTAACAGTAACAGTGGGAATAGAAAAAACTAAGCGTCGAACAGACGACCTAAACAGAAAATCTAAATAAGCGCAATATAAACAAAAATATGTTATGAGGAATGTAGAGTTTCATTATGTGGGGGAAGACAAAAAATAGATGCACATGCGCCATTCCAAACAATTTTGAGCCATGTCATTCAAAGTCTGACCATTGGTTACGATAATCACGCGGACCACAACCAGGTAATCTATACTTGCTAACATGGCTAAGTCCAATTGTCAGTAACATCACGTACTGATGCCATGTTTTGGCTCGGTCGCCCCTATCTTTCTTCTAGCTAGCAACTGCTGCACCAGAAAACATCACTCGTCGAGGTAAACGGTGGTTGGGTATACGTAACACATCCCAACCACCTCAGTTGATGAGGACTTACTACCTCACCAGTCGGTTCCCTATCCTCACTTGGCACTCTATTCTTAACCCAGACATTGCTTACTCCGTGGTTGCAAAGCAAAATACACGGACAATGCTTCGTAGACACCTATAACCAAATGCCAGTGACCCACTAATATCCTTTACTCTTAATGGCCACGCTTCACATCCACAAACTATAACGGAGCGAACGGCTGCGCAATAAACCCGCCCTGTAAGATGACTTACCTACGCACCCTATTACTTCTAAACAACCCCTCACTTGTTTTGATAACGGAAAGTCGGCTGTCCTCCGATACCACAGACACATATCTACAAATAGACACCTATGAGCTCTTCCGCTGTGATCGAGTCACCAAGAAGGGTGGTGGTTGTCTCGTTTATGTATCAAAAAATTTGAGAGCGGAAATCTATAGCGACCACGTCCTCAGCAAACTTCCTGAATCGATACGGCTTACTGTGCACACTCATGAGTGTAAAATACTAATCGGATGCATATATCGAGCTCCAAACACTCCTAGTTCAACTGACACTATTATAAGTGAGTCATTTGCTCAGGCTGCCTCGCTTGACTTCACTTACAAAATTGTATGTGGTGATTTCAACCTTCCCACCATCAACTGGAAAACACATTCTGGCCCATTGTGCTTTGAAAGCATATTTAGGTCCTTAGACATACACGGGTGGCAACAACATGCACACCTGCCTACACGAAATCACAACATTCTTGACTTGATATTCTGTCATAATGTCACACCAACATCAATGGTGGTTGGCGAAAAGTTTCACAACACCGATCATAAAATAGTCCTCTGCACCCTTCCGATTCTTGCCATATGCAACAAATTAAAGACATTAAACACGCGATTCCAATATAGAGACTATGCAAACGCTGACTGGGAAAACTTTCGATTTCTAATAAACCACTCTGACTGGGGCAGTTTCTTTACCAGTAATAACCTCTTAGAAACATTAGAAATATTCAATATCACCACCAAATCTGCACTAGACACTACTATACCCTCTAAAATTGGTTTTAAAACAATTACTCCCTATGTAAACTAAAAGACTAGGTCTAAACTACGAAAACCGAAAAGGATGTACTAAATATCAAAAGACTTCAGTGCCCTGCACCAGATATACTCTGTACTTGACGGAGTACAAACTCAACACAACAAGCATAAACAGGTAGAGGAACGTACTGCGCTCGCTGCTGCATCTAAAGCCCAAGCCCTATGTCGTCTCCTCACGAAACGCATAAGAAAGAACACAGACCACAACATTCACTCCTTACTGCACGATGGAGTAACGTATAATGACCAAACCGTCATATGTGAACTATTAAGTGAATGGTTTCCTCACAATCGGAATACATCTGATGCTCCAGATATCGACATAAAGTGCACCGGCAAAAACTGTCTTAGTACCATAAACTTCGACATTAGGAGTATACATACCGCCATTAAAACCCTTAAGCCAAATACGAGTTCTGGTGCCGATGACATCCCTTCAATCGTTTATAAAATGTCAGGACCGGACATACAGACGCTACTACTCAAAATATACACATTATCTTTAGAGACAGGTACATATCCGGAAACCTGGAAGGTAACCTATGTTCTTCCCAAACACAAATCCGGACCGAGAAACCTGGTTGAAAACTACAGACCTATAAATATCACTCCAGTCATATCACGCATAATGGAAAAAGTGATACAAAATCAACTATCTGATCACCTACTCAAGGAAGATCTAATAGACCCGTCACAACACGGCTTCATTAGAACAAGGTCGTGCAGTACATGCCTGATAGACTTCTTTAACGAGGTTACTCGTATACGTGACCAGAAGAAACTAGTTATCATACTATACCTCGATATTAAGAAACCCTTTGATAAAGTACTTCATAATCTTCTAATCAACAGACTTAAGTCAGTTGCAATTATAAATCCCCTTTTGCAATGGATCAAGTCTTTCCTTACGAACAGATATCAAATAAATAACATTAACTCTAAAACATCTACACCTCGACCAATAACCAGTGGTGTTGTGCAGGGTAGTGTCTTGGGTCCATTCCTCTTTATAATCTACATCAACAATATATGCAAGTGTTTTAGCACAGGTAAGACCTACCTCTATGCCGATGACTTAAAAGTCATCTATAAAACTGACATTTGCGATTTACGCAGTACTATGCAAAGAATCCAACATGAACTCAACATGGTAGAAAACTGGTGCAAACGCTGGAGGTTAGAGCTCAACACAGAGAAATGAGGCTGGTTATGTACAGGAGACACATCTCTTAAAATGAAACACTTAGCAATCACACACTGCCCAGACTGGCATCAGTAACTGACCTAGGGATACATTACTCACACAGTCTTAATATCTCTGAACACATCTCAGCCAAAGCATTCAAAATGCAGAAATCCCTTGAATTTATTCTCCGTAATTTCTATCAAAATCAATCTAAAATCCTTCTTTACAACAACTATCCTACAATATACCCTTATTAACGCTAATACTCTGATTGGCAAACTATACTTTATACTATAGTCAACAGAGGTATTGCATCGATGCTTTACCCTCAGGGAGGTTGATTATGAATGCAGTGGTCTTGAGTGCTGTTAGAATTATGAGGGCGGTTATCACTTCCCAGCTGCCCACTCCTATTCAACCTAATTTTGTTTGTGCATAAGGTGTGTTTACAAGTTTATCTTCTACCTCATTGTCATTCAATCTTTCACCTTTAACTGATATATATCTTTATATTGATAGGAGTTACTATTGTAATGAACGAGAACACAATTGAGGATAATCGAATGTATCTGAACACAAAATTACAGAACAACATAGAACCATAGTGTAAATATATCATTTAAATAATGTCAATCAATGATTGTTCCTTTTGCAAATATCAATCTATCGTCTCAGACTTCATTGTTCTTTCGTTTCCATACCAATCATTGTTTGTTCTCGTTTTCTTTTCTTTAATCTCAACTTTCTTCCTCTAGGTCTTTGCTATTTTACGAACAGCAACAGGCGTAAGTTTGTCAGCTGACTTTATCGGAATGGTATATTTAAGTGATTTAAAGCTAGCTACAGCAATTTTCATGTTCAAGCTAATGTCATACTGTCTCGGTTTAAGGATCATGTCTCTTAGCCATATTCTCTTATAGACCTAAGAGGGGATTCTGAGACAATCAACATTATCATACATATTTCTAGTGCCATCGGTTTGGTTTTGAATTTGTGTGGTTTAAATAATCAAGTAATCAAGTTATGCTTTCGGTTGTACTCTCATTTACTAGATTTAAAGAGCTTTAAATTCAAATCACATTTAATTTTTACCTCTAATCCCTTCATGTCTATCAACTAGTACAGCGGAGTCGGAAAACGGTCCAAAGTTACAACGAGTTGCTGCCTCAACTAAGAATTCCAAAACTTCCACTAGTAGTATAAAAACACATGCAAAATCGTCAGGCGTTCGTGACAGGATATCGATTTCGTCTGGTGAGGTAGCAAATCGCAAACGCCAGGAATTCAATGAACTTGTTGAAGCCCGCACTGAGAAGCTTATGTCCGATGGTCCCATTGTAAATGCAAGTATTTTATTTTTACTCCACATTCATAATTTCTCATTGATAACGCTTTCTTGCACCGCAATGTTCTGCCCTTATAATTACTTTTACACTTACTTCACACTTTCGAATTTCGTTGATATAAAGTGTTGCCTTGCTGTCCTAGGTTATGCGTCAGTTCAGTCATTTTGTTGTTTCGAAAGTTCCCTATTATATTAAGCAACAACATTTTCATTTTCACATCTCTATTAAAACTATTATTCATAAACATATGTGGTGATTATGTTCACGAGAATAATACGGTGACTTTCACTTGTTATGTTTCCGTAATTCATTATGAGTGGTGCACGGGTAAAATCCTGAATAGTAAATGAAATGTACCCAGGTGATAGATACTCCTGTGACCGAAATATTGATGTAGCTGATCAATAAGTTGATATGAAAAACCAAGACAACTGCCCACTAGAAGAGATATTTTTAAAAAAATAAAATAACACGTTGATGTACAAAGTATTGCCAGAAAAATAAGTATAATTCAATACTATAGACGAGTAGAGTAAATCCATTTTGAAGGTGTTTAACTCTACAACGTATATAAGACCTTCCCTATCATATCAATACTCTACAGAAATACACCTTACTCTTACATCTTTTCAACTTCTCTGCAAATCAACTTTTCATCATGATTGATGTAGTGTTATCTGGTTTACTAAATATTATATTATGATTAGAAACAATCTGTAATCTTCATCAATCTTCTTCTATTAAACAACATAAATTCTTTCAGTATTTCCCCTCATTTTTAACCGAAATGATTCATCAAAACTTTAACCACAACTATCGTAATACTTTTTCATTAATAATTAAATATTCATTTTATATTAAAAATGTACTGTATTCAGATTCAACGGAAATGTTTATTTACCACATTCATAGTCTTTTCAATGACACAATAGTATAGTCCATATTATTATTTTGACAAGTGTTTCACAATGTTTTAGAAATTCTGTAGCGTTGCCAACTTCATTGACGTTTGTTGTGGGTACACTACTCGAAAACCGATACCATGCAGATAATATAATATAGTCATGTTGAACAGAAACTTAATTCTTCCGTACGGTCTACATGGTAATCCGAAAATATCTGGGCTATATCTTATACATCTAAACTCAGAATACTACTGCCTTGCAACTTGTTTATCTCAATGGTTAGGTCGACAGTTGCCAGTAAAGTTGAGTGTGTGTAGTTGTCGTCACTTGTGTTAGAAGTCTGTGCAACCTTGGTTATTTCATAGTTGGTGAAATCTTGTTGTTATCGATTTCATTTTCATCAAGTTGATTCATCTTCCCCACAAGTGCTTGTTAAAAACAAAAAACAGGTGTGCTGTTCAGTGTTTCGATCTGTACTGCATTACTAGTGTAGGGTGTTTTCTTGGAATATAAACTATGTTTGCATTACAATAATCTGGTCAAAATTATCATGAAATCACTACCCGCGCATGTTGGAACCACTGAAGTAGTTCTGAAGTTGAGCAGATGCCACTGATGTTTCCACAGCTTTTCTAATATCATTCCACACTGCCTCGAAGTGAGCATCACTTACATGGCTGCCTAATTGTTTTCACGAAAAGCGAATGTAGTGCACAATGTTATGGGGCTTAAGTTAGTATGAAATAATAATCAGAAGCCCATGTAAACATTTGTTGTGCGAATAAAATATTTAGTGTAACTTCAATCATGAACTGGATTGGGAATAGAACTTGTAAATGAACAAACTATTTTTACGAATGCTTATTGTGAAATTCAAATCACTCTCTGATGTTGAACTTTCAATTTTTTTCTTTATAAGACAAACCTTTTTCGATGTTAACAGATGACTGTTGTCTAAAGTTGATCTCTTTAAGATATTCCGTTTGTATACATGTAGGCATGATTATTTCATATATTTGTCCAATGAAATGGTATATAACATAAACGTTGTAATAAGAGCAAGAAATAAACGTCTAGAAAAACAAAACCCCATTCTATTTGGTAGTAATGAATACATTCAGTGAGATAAAACCCACGGGCGCAGAAAACTTATACAATATACAATAAAACTACATAGCGCAGAGAAAAATAATAAACTACACTATCAGTTAACCAAAAGGAACATAATCATAAATGAATCTTTTCAAAGTTATTGCTTTTATTATCGTATCTAGAAATTCAAACTAACATCAATATTTAGGAAAGTAAAACAATTAACCGCAAAAAAATAATGTAGATAACTACAAAACTGACATCAGAACGTTTATTAGTGTAAAAAATGTCAGACTGCAGAGCGTAGATTCGCACGGGAGGTTGTGTATGTGTGAGAATTTGGGGGCAAGACATCTGTGGTCAAACACTAATAGCTTACGAGTGTCTTCTACTCTTAATGGCCATGTTTCGTGGCCGTAAAATAGAGCAGAAAGAACTGCCGCGCAGTACACTTGTCCTTTTATTGATAGACGGATATCTCGCCTTCACCATAGATGACGTAAGTTAGCAAAAGCAAAACGAGCTTTCCGAATCCGTGCTGAGATTTCGTCAGACGCCAACCCATTAGGGCTAATTAGACTTCAAAGACAAGTGAAGTTGTCAACGCGTTCGACTACTTCACTCCCTATATTTAGTTCAGATGTTGACGCAGGCCAGTCCTGGAGCAACAACTTGCATTTAGAGGGAGAGAAGCTCGTTCTAAACATTCTGGTATAGTTGCTTAGTGCAACCAGAAGACTCTTCATTTTATCAGTGTCTTCACCAAACAGGACTATGTTGTCTGCGTATTCCAAGTCGACAAGTGGACCCGAGAATTCAGTCGACGTGAATGCTATTTCCATCAGTAGGTCTGTGATGAAGTTAAACAAAAATGGAGAAAGTGGGCAGCCTTGACGGACGCAAAAGCAGATGACAAGTCGCCATCAGCTCTGACTCGACTAGTGGTGTTCGGGTAAAG